ACCTAGTCATTTTACATAAGAAAACTATGCTGTGTATGTCTATTAAGAAATAAATATGAGCTCTGTTTCAATAAAGTAGAGTTTTTTATGCTAAAGCATCATTAGTCCCCGAATAGAAAAATGATTGTATTATCATAAATTTAAGAAAATATCAGTTAAATGGTCCATGAATAAAGAAAAGATTAACAATATGTTAATATGAGTACCTATTTATTTACAATAAAGACATTATATGTGAAACAAACTTGCTTAGAAATATTGTCAAGAAACTGTTATCATTTTTTAAATCAGCAAAAATAACGTACACTTAATTCATCGTAAACTTAATTCATCGCGAATAAAACAGGTGATTGAAAATAATTAAAGTAAAGCATTAACATTAAGCTTGCAAAGTGACTGGGAAAATATAGGCTATTATGTTTAATTATTGTATGAAACGATGCAATTCTATTGTACTTTTAAAGATACTGACTACAAAATTATATAAACAAAACAATCTTTCTTATCTCATATTTCCTATTTATTTATTTTTTATTGAAAATAAATAAAACTGTAGGGAAAAGAAATCTTCAAACAGTTATAAAAACTGTCGGCAAAAGAAATATTCGATCGAACAATTATAAAGACATTGTTTAGATATTTGTTATAATATGTGGCCTTAAAAAAGTTATAATTAGTTAACTACATCAAATATATAATGCCTAGCTTATAAGTATGATCAAGTTTTAGAGGTGTACTTGTATTCTGAAATAAATTCACGGAGGTCATTATCATATCTACCTGATTCCAGGTTTTTTTCCAACCACAGATGTGACACATGACTATTTTGAGTAATTATGTTGCCTTTTCTTTTTTTATTGGCTGCTGTAAACATGTTTAATTGGGGATTTTGTCAACTTTTTAAATAAATTAAATTTATCCCAAACATTTTCAAATATCACCTGTTGGTCAAACACCATTTTAACAGTCAATCTTTTGAAATATAAAGTCAATTCAGCTCAAATTGACTATGAAATATGAGCATAATGTCACTTTAACTTGCTTAATACTTAAAGCTGAACATGAACTAAGCATAAAGTTTTAAATTACATTGTATATTTATGTTAACAACACTCAGTTTTGGGTCTTAAGCATACATTTAACAATGGCTAAAATATAATACCCTTGAATCATAAAACATATTTACATTGACAAGGTGAAAAGGGGGAAAATGAAAATGAAACAAAACTGAGCAATGTAGCAGGCATATTTCACATAAAAATGATAATTCATAGAACACATGTAGCGAGTTGTTTCAAGATTGATATAGACATAAAAATTAAAGTACATGTAGATGTTTAGCAAAAATTTAACCCTTTATAACATCACACTTATTTTATATGTAAAATATATCAATACTATTTAGAAAATAGTTTTGTATTTTTTTCTTCATTTTGAATATTACAAAAAGAATATGTTCAGATAATTCTGATCTTTAAAACTTTGCCCCAGGAACATCATCTTATGTTAACTTGACAGAAAATGCTACCAATGTTTGTACGACCTTCTAAGATTGTGTGTATACATAGTCCACACAGCAGTTATCAGTGACGTGGTGGTAAATCTCTCCTATTCTCTCCAATGTTGTTTAGGTTACTGGCTCCGAGGTGTATATACTAACAATGTTTTGACTAACTGGAAAATATCTGAAGAATTTTTTGATAATGTTTATGTTTTTGCAATAAAAATTAATTGGTAACAATTATCGGGTCTAGAATAGTTTACATGTTAATTGCTAACTTCTGTAACTTCTTTATCCAGTCTGGTATTTGTTACAACTAGAAAAATATAGAATTATTGATGGTAACAAATTGTAGTTATCAAATTATTAAAAGAACAATAGAGAGAACAATAGAGTAGCCACATTATTACTCTCCTGTTAGAACGTCCGTCCCGAATTTGTGTCCGGCCCATAACTTTGTTATTTGAAGTCGGATTTTACAACTATTTCACAGAAATGATCACCATATTGAGACGATGTGTCGCGCGCAACGATTGGGTCACTACCATGAAGGTCAAGGTCACAGCATGACCTTGCAGCAAAATTGTGTCCGGCCCATAACATTATTATTTGAAGTCGGATTTTACAACAATTTCACAGAAATGATCACCATATTGAGACGAGGTGTCGGGGGCAACATTTGTGTCGCTACCTTAAAGGTCAAGGTCACTGTATGACCTTGCAGCAAAATCGTATCCGACCCATAACTTCGTTATTTGAAGTTGGATTATACAACTATTGCACAGAAATGATCACCATATTGAGACAATGTGTCAAGCGCAACATTTGGGTTGCTACCTTGAAGGTCAAGGTCACAGCATGACCTTGCAGCAAAATCGTGTCCGGCCCATAACTTCTTAAGTCGGATTTTAAAACTATTTCACAAAAATAATCACCATATTGAGACGACGTATCGCGAGCAACATTTGGGGAGCTACCTTGAAGGTCAAGGTCACAGTATGACCTTGCAGTAAATGGTGTACGGCACATATCTTCGTTATTTGAAGTCGGATTTTACAACAATTTCACAGAAATGATCACCATATTGAGACGACAAGTCGCATGCAATATTTGGGTTGTTTTTACACTTTGAACTTTGTTTGTGACATAACTCTGACACTACAAGAGGTATACCTTCCTGTGTCCAAAACCTATTCGGGGAGCATCACCCGGTTCAACCGGCTCTTGTTTTCTGTATAATAAAGAAAGAAAAGTTACACCAGGCTCAGCAAAATGGAGTCTACAATTTTGACTTGTACTTTGTTTTCAGTCACCTCTAGAATAATCTCTGTTTCTATTATTTTGTACTAAGAATGAAATAATTTACTCATTGTCAAAGAATTCAAACAAGCCTTTGGACAAAGGAGTAAAATATCTTTTAAAATTAGATATATGAAAGAAAAATGTTGATATTCAAGTGAGAGCTGGTCTAATGTTGGGGATGTTTTAACACAACAATGGTTTTGTTGAAAGTTAGCATCAAGCAGACATTGTGGACCAATCTATTTTTTATTGGTTTCCCTCTGCTGAAGTCATTTATGTTCAAGTTATTGATTCATCAGGAAAGCTAAAGGCATACATGGACAAAGGCCCCTCTCCCTTTGTTTTCCTTTGTCAGAAATTATCTCTTTAATAAAGAAATATGTCTTAGCAAATGACACTTTCCACAATAATCAATATAAATATTAACTTATAATTGGCATTTTTTCTCAGAACTTCCATTTCTAAAATGCTGTATTCTGTTTTTTCCATGCAATCAAAACAATTGAATATGACATTATTTGAAATGTGCTACAAATGTTATTTTGTGACATTACTAGTGTTTGTAATGTGCTACAAAACTGATAGTAATACACGTAATATTTACAAAACAAACTGTCAATTATGTTTATACTTTAAGATTATAGTTGAAAAACTCAGGAATCGTGAAGAATATTAAAATACCTTGACTTGTGTCTGGTAATAATGCCAGGAACTGTGCTCTTGTAACCTGACTCAGAAATGCCTAATGTATTGACATTACATTGACGTAATGTTTTGTCACTTATCATCATAATATTATACATGTACATGTCTTTTAAGTATTTTAATTTAATTTTTAGTCCTTTAAGAGATTTTTTCTTGTTTGAAAGTTTGTTTCAAGGAAAGAAAATGAAAATATTGCAATGTTATCTCAAGCTTCTTACATAAAAAGTCCCATTGATTGATTTACATTCTGGATTCAGTTACAATGAATTTTATAAAAATCTGAGTTTTATTGTGTCTCAACAGTTGAATGAAAAAAAATAAAGAGTTACAAAACTCTCATTATATTGATAAATTTGACATTTTTATGGCAATCCCATGGAAAGATTGATTGTGAAAAATGTTCACAGGGACAATTATAAAAAATTCTTTGAATGGCTTCAACAATTCTCTTTATATGCATGAAGGAGATAGGGTCTTCTTAAATGAATGTTGTTTATATCTTAATGCTACAAGGAATTACAAAATCAGAGTTTTCTTTTTTTAATGAGAAATTTATCAAAAGGTCAGAAGTAAGTCAATCTTCAGATGGTTTCCAAACAATTGTTTGTGAAATGTAAAAAATACCCCCCTCTGTAAGCCATTTTCAATATTTTTATGACTAACATTGCACTATTATAAATTCATAGCAGGACAAGTCCATTATATAAACTCAGAAAGGTGAATGGAGGGGCTCTGTGCTTTAAATTCAGTATGATTGTTCTATATAAGTCAATGTGACTTTATACAGAATTAAGTTAAAGTGACTAAGACCTTTTAAACATCTGTCTAAAAATTCCCACCAGCTGCTTTACTTTGTATGAATTATAACATCTTCTCATATTGCAAGATCAATATTATCTCCATGTGCCCTAGTGGTTTATGATATCTGATTCTGGGGGACAGTCATACATGTATTGTTGTTGCATTGTCCTGATCCCCATAATGTTGGTTAATGGAAGCCTAACATATATGTAAGATAGTGGTTGCTTTAAGACAACACCAAGATGTACACAACAAATGCAAGTAATTAATGGTACACTATCATGCAACACATGGCAATATCTATACTTTGATGCTATAAGCTGCCAGTGTGTGAGCAGACGGGAATATTGAACCCTGATTTTATCAAATTATTCCATGTAAAAAAATATCTGAAGGCCCATAAACATTCCTTATCTTGAAAAGAAGAAAAAAGCAAATTGAAGGCTTCACTTTAGAAAACTCTACCAGGGTACTTCAAAATGGAAGATACTTTTCTTGTATTATTGGAGCCAAGTTACAAAATGATCTATATTGTTTTGACCAAATTGGAAAAATGAAACATTATGTATGAAAAGCTTGAAATTTACTGATGAATTAACTCAAAAACTAGCTCACTGAGAAAAGACGACAGATACAGATTGTATAACATTTATCAGGCCATTGTTAATGTTTTTCTCTGTGATTTTTTCAGAATTCGCACAGAGACAAATGGTGGGGCATGGTGTCCGAAAAGTGTTATTGAGCGTGACACCTATGAGTACCTGCAGATTGACCTTGGACGTCTCACTGTTATCACAATGGTGGAAATACAGGGAAGATTTGGCAATGGTCAGGTATGTATTTAAACAACTTTGGTGCCTCAATTTAACTAACATGCATTGTGCTCTTATAGAGCAAAATTATATCCCTAATACATTATTTTGAAAAAGTATATACTGTTTGTTCAGTTCATAACTTCATCATATTTCATAGGATTCCAACATAAATTAGTTCATAAGATCACCATAAGAAAATGGTGTGTTGCTAGTATATCCATGGGCCTAAGTCACAGCTGGGGCTAATGAGCATTTAGTTTAGAGTAAGTCTTACATGCATGATGGAATTTTATTGTTAATATTGGTACACATAACAATCATTTGTTGATGATCTGTGTAGCAGACAAGATCCATGGCACAATGTCAAAGGTCAAGGGTATTTGGGTCACCAAAACCACTTTTGTTATTTTCTTTGCATCTGGTGCGCAACTTTGTAAGGTCAAGGTCACAGCAGAGAATTGCATCCATGTCTTGTTCTGTAAATGGCTGACATTGTATTTGGTAATAAAAGTCCTGTTTTAAGGTTGATCTAAATGCTTTATATTAACCACACAAAATCTGTATTAATGAATGATTTATGGGTAAAATTTCAATAATTCATTATTTTGTGTTACTGTTATTGTTCACTGTGCTTTTGCATGAAACAATGTTTGAATATTGGATGACAAGCTTGTATTAACATAGCAAGGCAATTTTAATTTTAGATAAGCATGCTAGCTTTCTAGATCTGTATCGATTGTACGGTTTTAGTGTATTTCTATAAAATGCAGATCCTGTCTCTCTGAATTTTAAAAGATTGAGTATTGTTAAATGGAAATAATTGACAGATACTGAAAATTAAAACCCATTTGAATAATATTGTATACATTACAGCATAGCATGTAGGATATTTAAACAGTATTACAAACAAACTTTTTTTCATAGAATTTTACGTTGATAATATGTTTTATACAAATTGAATGTCAGGAACCATGTTCAGGAAGTTTCTATATGAACAAGTAAATTTTCAACAAGCAAATAAATATAAAATTACATAAACTTCAAGTTTAAGCATGGGGTGGGAAGGACTGAGACCCTTGGAATTGCTAATTGAATGACTTCTGTTAGAAAAATATATATGACATAGATTGCTTCTATTGATGAAAGGTAAGGTAAATAAATACAGAGTCAAGAAACTTCTCCATATCTCTGAGCCAGACCTCTTCATCTGTAATTAGGATCTTATTTCAGACCACTGGTTTATCCCTTGATATCACATTAACCAATTATAATTGGACTTGGGAGAAGTCATTAGTTCTAATTATAGGCTAATTTTCAATAATAAACCATGAAAACGATATAGATAAATTTGATTGGGAATTTGAAGTAGGTAATCTGTGTGTGAAGAAAATGATTCCCACTCAGTTCTTTGTTTATTTGTGTAACTTTTATGAATAAAATAAGTTTCAGTGAACAGAGCTGACAGGATCGGTTCATGTAACTGATGATTTATTTTCTCAAGATTTGAATCATTAGGTGGATTATTTTGATGTATAGTAGTTGAGATGAAGATAAGAAATACTCTGCTGTAGATGATTTTAATGTATTGCCTGGAATACAGTTGCATAATATTTCAGGCTGGATGATAGAGATAGGTATGTTTGGTATTGATTTGCAATATGTATGGCATATATATTTTAATAAATTTGTGGAGTCCTAACTACCTTTACATTATCATTACTCGATGGTAAATTAGTAATTATTGGTTATACAGGAAAGCAAGTCAGGTGGACCGGCCACCATTATATGATAATAAATTGTGAACCAAATAAACAAAAATCAAACATATTTAAAGGCATGCAGCTAATGATAACTCTGACCTGCTATGCATCTATGCTTGGTAAATACTCCTAAATCAAGCAATACTGTCTTATTAAGGATTTATTGATAAGAAACTTCTGAAATACTAATAAGGATTTCTGAAACCCAGAACCCAAAGTCTCTAAAAGAGGAGTTTAAATTTTATTCTTAGTAATGCTTGAAAGTTCTTGCCTTGTTGCTAGTTAGTGCCAGAGCTCTTTTCCTCTGATGTTCTTTTATATATGATAGTAAAACTGCAAGCTGCCATTATGATGTTGATAATATTTATATGTCAACAACAAACTAATTTGTCTCATCTGACACAGGAGGCACACATTGATTGACATTATGTTGGAACATTTAGATTCATTTAAAAAATTCAATGCTCTAATGGATTAAGCTTCCTGTATATAAGAAAGTATCTAAGAATGTGTGTGATCTGGACTATATCTGAAACATTTTATATCTACTAGAGAAAGAGCGATACAATACTCATGTTATATTTGATAGACATTTTAGATAGTTTTGTGTCATTTTGATGTATTCCACAGTTTTAAGAAGTTTTGATGCATACCTGTATGATTTGTAGAATATTTCTGTTTTACATCATAAAAATATCAAGTTGTGATAATGGTTAAGCTATTATACATTGAATGATGAATGGCAAAGTGAAGCTCCTTGTGCTACACCAGCTCACAGGGCTTATACCATAATTCTGTTCAGGTGTTAATTAAGTATGCCTATCAGAGGAATTTCTTAACTTGTCAAAGAATGTATTAGTGAATAGCACAAAGAGTGTATCCAGCTGATAATTCTTGTATATGATGGATTAAGTATGAAAAATCTAGATGTTGAAATAAATGAGCTGTTAATGAATTACTTGATATTTCTTATCCATTTGTATTCATGATAGTTTGTCTGAAAAGATTATTTATATAAAAAAACAGCCCAGTGAACTGATAATATTGGACAATTTTCACATAGCTTATTTGTATCAAAGTGTTCATATTTGTGAACTCCTGTTTTCAAATAATTTACTGCCCAATTTACTCAATGTATGTTTTATAGACGCTTGGCCTGTTAACATCAAAGTTTCTTGATAGATTTATTACCAGAGAAAAATGCTATTATCAGTTTGTCAGAAAACCACTACCTATTTGTTTGGAGAAAAAATCTTATCCCCAAAAATTATCTTTTTATGTATGTTGCAATTTTTTTAGCAGTTAATGTTAGGGAAAAAACCAAAGAAACTTCTTACAGACTGTTCCCAAAGTGGGGTGAACTTTAAAAGCAGCCTTTAATTTTACCATAAAACAGATAAATACAAATTTAAAACATATAGCAATATAATATGTAGCACTATAAGTGATATTAATAACCAATATTTGAATAATTTACCTTTTTATAAACTTTTCAATTATAGATGATAAAATCAATTTGATTTACATACCATGTAAATGGATAACATTTAAAGTCAATTTGACTTTTTTTCTTGTTATGTTTTTAAGACTAGTGTAAATCTATGTTGATAATTTCTTTAAGATAACATGATATTTTATGATGTTCATCATAGAAAAAAAATGAGCTATTTCTTGCTTTCTCTTTAATTGCTGACTGATCAAAGGTAATTATAAAAATTATGATGGGCAAAATTTCTGCTTTTAGAGTTTAAATCTTCCTTTTTGTTAATAAGAGTCATTCAGATCATCAATTACATGTATATCATGATAAATCTTTATAAAAGAACTTTCTATTGTTACAATAAGCCAGACTCAGTAAAATAATAACTTGTTCTGAACAATGTATACATACATTTTTATACCCCCAAAAACGAAGTTTGGGGGGGTATATAGGAGTCACCCAGTGGTCGGTTGGTCGGGCGGTAGGTCGGTCCAGACGTCCGTTGCATTTTTCTTGTCCGGAGCATAACTTGAAGACTAATGGTTGGAATTCAATATAACTACATACAATGGTCAAGCACATTGAGAGGAAGTGCAGTGCACAAGAACCAAAACTCTATCTTGTCTAATTACAGAGTTATTGCCCTTTGTTACTTTTCCTTGTCCGGGGCATAACTTGAAATGGAATTCAAAACAACTTCATACAATTGTCAAACACAATAAGGGGAAGTGCAGTGCACAAGAACCATAACTCTATCTAAAGTAATTACAGAGTTATTGCCCTTTGTTACTTTTCCATTGCTTTCTTTTGTCAGGACCATAACTTGAAGACTAATGGTTGGAATTCATTATAACTTCATACAATGGTCAAGCACATTGAGAGGAAGTGCAGTGCACAAGAACCATAACTCTATCTTGACTTATTACAGAGTTACTGCCCTTTGTTACTTTTCCTTGTCCGGGGCATAACTTGAAAACTACTGGTTGGAATTAAAAACAACTTCATACAATTGTCAAACACAATAAGGGGAAGTGCAGTGCACAAGAACCATAACTCTATCTAAAGTAATTACAGAGTTATTGCCCTTTGTTACTTTTCCATTGCTTTCTTGTGTCAGGACCATAACTTGAAGACTAATGGTTGGAATTCATTATAACTTCATACAATGGTCAAGCACATTGAGAGGAAGTGCAGTGCACAAGAACCATAACTCTATCTTGACTTATTACAGAGTTAATGCCCTTTGTTACTTTTCCTTGTCCAGAGCATAACTTGAAAACTACTGGTTGGAATTAAAAACAACTTCATACAATTGTCAAACACAATAAGGGGAAGTGCAGTGCACAAGAACCATAACTCTATCTAAAGTAATTACAGAGTTATTGCCCTTTGTTACTTTTCCATTGCATTCTTTTGTCCGGACTATAACTTGAAGACTAATGGTTGGAATTCATTATAACTTCATACAATGGTCAAACACATTGAGAGGAAGTGCAATGCTCAAGAACCATAACTCCATCTTGACTTATTACAGAGTTACTGCCCTTTGTTACTTTTTCTTGTCCAGAGCATGACATGAAAACTACTGGTTGGAATTCAAAACAACTTCATACAATGGTCAAGCACAATAAGGGGAAGTGCAGTGCACAAGAACCATAACTCCATATTCAGTATTTACAGAGTTATTTCCCTTTGTTACTTTTCCTTGTCCAGAGCATAACTTGAAAACTACTGTTTGGAATTCAATACAACTTCATAAAGTTGTCAAGGACATTAAA